TGTTATTCATTGTTTCAAAAAGCGGACTGCCCAGCGCTTGGGCGACCGCCTAGGCAGATTTTCGTGAGTGGCCTCTGGAACCCTCCTAGGGCCTGCGTCCCACCCCGGGGGGGAACTGCGGCTCCTTGAGGGTATATTTGGGTCATTTTTTTTTAATACTAAAGAGGCAAAATTGGGGTTTTTAGGTTCATTTGAAACCTAAAACCCACTAGAGGCTATTTTAGAGAGAGAAAACCCAAAAAAAAAATAATATTTCTACTGGGCTGCCCAGGTTCTGGGTGCCCGCCTAGGCGCTGAGCGGCTTGGACCCCCCGACCGCCTAGCAGCTGCCTAACGCTTGTTGAAACACTGTTGTTATTATTATTTGCTATGTAAGCAGGGGTTTTGGATTCATTTTTTCAATAATGGTGGGCTTGACTGTAATTGATGTTAATGGCTGCATAGGATGCTGCCGTCAATAGTCAATTAGATGCTTTGAATGCATAAATGAAGAAATCAAATTGGTTTTGGGGAAATTATGAAAGCATATATATACTTGGGTAATGAATAATGTGAAATTCATTTTTTAGATAATTGAGGGCTTGATTATAATTTGATGTTAATCGCTGAATAGGTTGCTGAAATAAATAGTCAATTAGATGCTTTAAATGCATAAATGAAGAAATCATATTGTTTTTGGGGAAATGAAAATATATGTGTATAGTTGAGTAATGAATAATGTGTAATTCGTTTTTTAGAACTTCCTAATCTTCCAGCACGTCATCAAACACAAGTACTTAGAACTTCTTTAACATTCTAGCAGGTTATCAAACAGAGAGACCCAGAGCTGCTTACTGTAACTTCTTTCTTCCCAGCAAAGAAGAACTACCAATTTCCAAGGAACATTTACCTTCCAGTTATCAAATCGGCCCTTAAAGTTCAAGTAAGGACCAAAAAGCTAGTGTTATGCGACTTGCCGCGGCCAATGTGCTCGGCCTTCGGCTTAGATGACTGGGCCAAGTTATACACACCCCTTTAGCATGAAAAAAAAAAAAAAAACAAAAGTGAAAAAAATAATAATGAGAAAGGTATTTTAAAGTTAATAGAAACCATTAGAGGTCTAAAGAAGATGAAAAACTATAAAAATATTGACTATTGGTAAATTTGGTTTATGCAATGAATATTTAAGAAAATTTAAGAAAAGAAAAATATGAAAGATTCTAAATCCTACTAAAAATTATCAAAATCATCTAAAAAATCATTTATAAGAAATATATTGGTATTTTTATTTTTCAAGATTTTTAATACGTATGTAGATTTTTAGAGGGTTGTTGTCCTAGATGAGTTGAGCACCCAACTTCCTTAGAACTCGCCACGCTATTAGGTCGAACACGAGTTACTCAGCCGAGTCCACAAGTCGCATGACATTCGGAAAAACCATCGAAGTTTTGTATCTATTGATAAAAAGAGCAACAATTCATCACGACGTGAGTGGCTAAATTAATTCAAAACAGAAAGTGTGTGAGGATCAATAAATGAGGATAAGGACTTACTTGGTTTCCTGCTCTACCGTTTTACCCAATAGCATGACTTCTTCCTGACCAAGTATTAGGGCGGGTAATGGGCTGGTCCTAGGCCAGGCCAGCCTTGGTTGCTATAGGGCGGGGCAAGGCCACGCTTGACCCATATTGGGCCGATGAGGCACTGGTCTTAGTATTGGGCCCGGCCTATTAGATCTAAAGAAAAAAAAGAGAAAAAAAAAAAAAAGTTTGGGTTGGGCTGGCCCAGTTGTCGCCCCAACCCTGGTCCGGCTTTCAAGCCACATTTTCTGGCCTACGTTCCAATTTACCAAGACTAAGCCGCCCGACCCACTGCCAGTCGCATGACCAACTTCTCTTTTTATCCATAATCTCTTTCATTATTATTTTTACCTGCATATCTTTCCCATAATCTGCCTGTTCTTTTCACCCAAAATCTCTCTCTCTTCCAATATTATTTTTACCTGCGTATCTTCCCCATAAATGCGTGTTCTTTTCACCCAAAATCTGTCTCTCTTCCATAATTTTCTTAACCTAATACATAACTTTTCTAGCCAGCTAGAAAGACGAATAGTCCAAGTTAACACACTGTATTCCACAGTTACCTTCAATAATTCATATGAATGATTCAAGAAAAGGACAGTAATAGACCCAAGCCTCTTCACATGACTGTCATGGTTGTTTACAAGAGAAAAACAGGGAGAAATTGAAAAACAAGAAAAATAAATGAAGAAGCATAAAAAGATGCAATCCACGTATGCTTTTTCAGTTGTTTTTATGTTTTAAAATTCAAAAAGATGCTTCAAAGTTTTCATTGTTAAGCATTCAGAGGTGGTCCCGGATTCTCAGACCACTTCTTTGGTGCTCTTCCTGTCAGTTCGAGGTTGGCATCCTCGGATCACATTAGTTCATTTGTTTGCTAAGAAATAAAGGGGTTTAAAATGGCAACTATGGATTGCCTTATAGATTGGGACCCGCCCCTTACACAGGGGTATTACCTTGATATCGAAAAAATTTAAAAAAAAAAAAAAAAAAGTTTCGATGGTGGTGTAATTGGACCGAAAGGTATTTTTAAAAAATTAAAAATAAAGTTATTTTCACCCAAAATTAGCCAATTTCGTATTTGTCCCTTTTTCTTTTTGTGTAATTCACCCAAGAGAAAAATACATAAAGGAATTGTGGTTCCCTTTTAGTGGTGTGGCTTGAGGGAATGCTAAGTACGTGAAACAGTGGCCTCATTTGTCTTTCAAGACGCTGAAATTGTGGTGTTGGCTTTCGCTTTCTCTCACCTGAAATACCTTCGCCCTTTGTTCGGAAGCCACACCGACACCCTCTCAAACAGTGGTGCTCTCTCTCTCTCTCTCTCTCTCTCAACCTGAGAAAAAGCTGAGGTAATAGTTCTCTCTCTAGAGGCGCCTTCCTCTTTCGCTCTTCTTTTGGAGTTAATCTCTCTAGAGGACACCACATATAGACCTCTCTCCTGCTCTTCTTTCTCTACTCTCTTTCTAGCTCTCCTTCAAAGATAACCAAAACAGACCTTCTAAAATCTCAATATCTCTTTCTCTCTCTCTCCCTCTCCCTCTCTACTTTGTAAAATCTCTATCACTATCTCAATGGATTGCATAAGTCCAGTTGTAGATGTTGTCACCAAATACTTATGTGATCCCTTTTTTCGACAAATCGGCTATCTCGTAAATGTGAAAGAGAATGTGAAGAAATTAGCAAAAGAAATGGGAACTGGCACAAAAGGCGATGTTCAGAGGAGCTTAGATACTGCTCGTCGTGAAGGAAAAAGCTCTACACATGCAGTAGAAGTGTGGTTGAGACAAGTCCAGGAAATTGAAGCGAATGCAGTTGCTATACAAGCGGAGTATGAAAAAGGAAAGACATGCCTAAGAGGGCTGGGTCCAAATTGCTGGTGGTACTATAGACTCGGCAAGAGAGCAGCCAAGCTCATGGTAGAGGTGGAGGACAAGTATAAAGAGAACTTTGATGGGGTGGCGACGACACCTCCTCCAGAGGTGGTAGAAGAGTTGGAAACCACACCAATTGATGACCAACAGACTGCAACAGACATGATACAAAAGGTTCTTGATTGTATAAATGATGAAGAGACCCGGATTATTGGTGTGTATGGTATGGGGGGCATTGGCAAGACGACCCTCATGAAAAATGTTAATAATCGACTCGGTTCTAGTTCCTGCTTCGACACTGTGATATGGGTTACTGTGTCAAATAATCCAGATGTGGCTAGCATGCAGAAGAAGATTGGAGATCGATTGGGCCTTGATATATCCAAGGCAGCTGATATTGGGAGTGAACCGTTGAAAGTTCTAAGAAATAAAAGGTTTCTACTAATTTTGGATGATGTGTGGAAGAGATTTGAACTGAAAACATTAGGAATTCCTCGCCCAACTGTTGGGAACAAGAGCAAGGTTATCCTAACGACCCGATATGCTCATGTGTGTAGCGATATGGAGGCTGACAGAAGCATTGAAGTAAAGAAATTACCAGAGGCAGAAGCGCGGAGTCTGTTCCGAAAGAAAGCAGGTCCACTTGTTGCCTCTGAATCAATAGAATCCCTCGCCGAAACCATTCTTAAAAGGTGTTATGGTTTACCGCTCTCTATCGTCACTGTGGCACGGGCTATGGCAAACAAAAAGGAAGTGGCAGAGTGGGAGGACGCCATAGCTGAAATGAACCTGTCTGCAGCAAATTTACGCGGTATGGTTGAAGATGTGTTTATCCCACTGAAGTTTAGTTATGATAAATTAGATAATGATCTCAAAACATTGTTTTTGTATTGCTCACTATTCCCGGACGACTTTTTAATAGGCAGGCGAAGAATACCACCTACTTAATTTCTGTGTAGGGGAAGGCCTAGTAGATAGGCAAGGTACTCGAGATAGACCAGCTACTCTCCATGCCGCTCGTAACAAGGCCTGTACTTTGGCTCGAAGCCTTAAAGCAGCAGGCATGTTAGAAGATGGTGACGATGGCAAAACCTGGAAATTGCATGACGTGTTGCGAGATTTGGCATTGTGGATCACTTCAACAAAGTCAGTGGAGGGCCTTATGTTCATAGTAAAGGCGCCTGAAGCTGCAGAATGGCAAGAAGCTGAGAGGATCTCACTGAGGGATAAGAATGTTGAAGAACTCCCTGAGTTGTCCGAGTGCACAAAACTTCGCACCCTACTGCTCTGTTGTAATAAATCCCTGAAAGCCATCCCTCAACTTCGTTTCTTTGAATGCATGCATTCTCTTCGCGAACTCGATCTCTCTGAGACTGGGATTAAATCCCTTCCTCATTCCCTATCAAACTTAGTGAACCTCCGCGTTCTTTGTTTGGCACATTGTGAGGGACTTGAAGAAGAGCTTCCACCAGAAATTGGAGAACTTGGAAAACTCCAAGTTTTGGATCTTGAGGGTGCTTTAGATTGAAGGAGCTACCTATGAAATTTGGGGAGAGGCTCTGCGTCTTGTTGATCTGCCAAGCTTTGAAAGGATATGGGTAGGCCGGCCTCCTCATGTAAGCTTCGGGGGCCTAAAGTGAATAGATGTATCGAAATGTAGAAGATTGGCAGTTCTCTTCACCAGTGTAATGGTGCAAAGCCTTAAAAATCTCACTAGTATGGATATTTCACATTGTGAGGGAATGAAGGCATTGATAGAAGATGAGGAGGTGGGTGAGAATGTGTTGCCCAACTTAACATTATTACAACTACACTTTCTACCAAATCTGGTTAGTCTATGTGGTGATCATGACCTGAAGTTGCAATCGTTGGAGAGGCTGACCGTCTTTGGATGTCCAAGATTGGCAGTTCTCTTCACCTGTGGAATGGTGCAACACCTTAAAAATCTCACTAGTATGTAC